CAGCTAACGATGAATACTAGCTGAAATATAGATTCAGCTAATCCAAAAGAAATATAGATATTCAGCTAATCCAAAGCCGTTTAGCCGTTTTCCGCCCGTCAACCTATCAAAGGGTATGGGATGAAAAATTCAAAACAAAAGCCATCCTTCTCGTCGTTTTGCTAGAATTGGTATTTGAATAATGGATTATAATACCTAAATGATCTCTAGTGTTCATTGGGTCTTGCTTTTTACTCAGCATGGAGTGATACGATTCCAAACGGGACCTCACATTGCCCAGTGACCGCCGCTGTCTCTTCCCTATACGGAATTTTCATTTCATTTTTACGGTAAGTTATCGATAAAAATGAATCTAAAGGTACTGTAAAGTCTAAAGCTACAGTAAATACTGAAAGATTTTTCAAGAAAAGTGAAAAAGAAATGACTCAACAGGCATCGAACCCACGATCTTCTGTCTACCGATTCGCTTTACCACTGAACCATTCTCACCAAGTTCAACCAGAAAACAAAAGAGACTTTTGATTTGTTATAGAAAACCTCTTTATATCAAATTTCAATTCCAGGTTCTCACTTTCACAATCAGTTTCTTCTCGTTGGCTTTCGTTTACTTCAGCAAAAGGGTTTCTTTTCTTTGAGATGTTCTTTTTAAAAACAATTTTCAGGAAATGATTAGTTCCAAGGGCGGACAAGGATATTTCTTGGCAACAATGACATTAACAGGTTGGAAATTCGAAAAACAAAACCTGAAAACTGTAAAAATTGAGGTATTTGCGTGATTGTGATGGGTTTCCCGGCTATTGTCTCATTGGGTAACGCGTGGAATCTCTATCAAGCTGGCGATTTATTCTTTGGGATATCCATTTGTGCGCCGAGGTAAAGAAATGAGAAACGAATAGAATATGAAATTTACATAAATATACTACTAAAAGATCATTAAATAGTACAGCAGTTTAAAACTAAACCAAGTGTTTCGACCTTTTCGAATGTCTTCAAAGTCGGTAGTCGCTTTAAAACCGTGCCCTAGATACGAATTGTCATTTAGCAAAAACGGAATACAGATTCGGAATCAGCATAAAATTCTGCGTCGAATGGCATAGGTCTTATAGCATTTGACTGCCGGAATCACGATCTCGGTGGCTCCAATGGAGTAAATGTCTTCACCCGAAAATCAATCAGTCCCTTGTAACTAAATCTAAAAGGTTACGGTAGTTGAGTCACGCTTTAGATTGTCTAACTAACAAGTGTGCGCCCGTACAAAAAAAAACGCTAGTTAGCACTTCTTGGAAAAAGCAGAAGAGAAAGCGAGGATTGAACTTGCGAGGTCTCGCTTTGGAAACAAACGCCGTACCATTCGGCCACGGCTACACGGAATCTGGTCTGCAAGGAGGCCGCTAAGACAGAAATGACCACGTTTTCTTAACAAAACTTTAGACGCTTATAACTTATATTGTCATTTAGCAAAAACGGAATACTGATTCGGAATCAGCATCAAATTCTGCGTCAAATGGCATAGGTCGCATAGCATTTGACCGGCTCAGTCAGTCTCTTTTTAACTATAAGTTGATTTTGATAGATAAGTCGTTGAATTTTGGATCCTTCTTCACTCTCTATCATATCATATGATTGCCTTTTTCAGCCTCATCTCCATCGCAACGACATTCTCCAATGGAATGTTCCACAAAGATTACAGACGAAAGGTATTTCGATCTCAAGGCTCAACCCTCTCCTTTTCAGTTATTTAAGGTCTATCAAATGGTTGGCCGTCGATTTGGTTGTCATCTCTCATCAAGAGATGAATCTTCATTCAAAGATAAAGTAACCATCATGCCGACCACCATTTTCTCATCCGTCCAAAGGTTTGGGTGCATATTTTCAACTTAATAAGCTAAACGAGATCGAGAATCGACTGAAAATTAGGCAATTTTTTTAACAAACCTGCTAATCAAAGCAAATTCTTAACAAACCTACATTCCTGCTAATCAAAGCAATTTCTAAACGATCAATTCAAAGCAATTCAATTCATCAGCACAAGATAAATGAGTAAACAGTGTGAAAATCTTCATTTAAAGCCTGATTTGAAGGATTTTTTTCTTGGCTACATGCAAACGCGTGAATCTGGTGCACTAAGTTCCACCGTTTTGTGTGTTTAGTGCGCTAGATGCGTCACGTTTCTGTTTGAAAGTCTTTTCCTTCCATTTAGTTTTCATTTTTTCTTCAGTTTCCATTTTTTTTCTTTAGTTTCCTTCAAAGTCGATATTTTTTCAAGAATTTTCTAATTCTCATTACTACAGAGTATCAGTCGATCCAATTCTCGTTTTTTTTTTACAGGAATCTTTTCCGTAAAAGCGTGACTCAATTACTTGCGCAAATTGAAAGACTTTATTGGTTTTTTAATGTTTTTTTTTGGTTGCTGATCGTACAAAGTAAAGGAAAAGCTCTGAAGATTAAAGAAATTATCGGAAAATATTGATTTGAGAAGTAACTTTTGCAAAAGATGACTTAAGATCTATTAAAATTGCAATTCTATCTGAAAAATGATTTAGATTTTGGTTTAAAGATTGGTTCCAATTTGAGAAAAATATATTTTAAAAAGAGATAATGTTTCACTTGAGTAAATCGCTCTCTAAAAGGTGCACTTGGAAAAAGGCTACAGTAATCTTACTGCTTTTCTAAGCTATTGAACTTTTAAGTATCTTCTGAGTATTCTTTTGAGTATTTTACGCTTTCCAACAGACTTACCTACCGTAAATACTGTAATAGTACCCCAGCCCCATAATGACGGTGCGTAGTGTTGCGTAGTCTAGCTTTAGACGAGTTTTTCTCGACACTGGTTTATGCTACAATGCGCGCTTAGGTATCAAAAAATAGCCCTGAATTTCAGCTATTTTTTGATACCAAAGACGCATTTTTTGAAAGTACGGGCGCTTTGAAAAAAATGAAATACTAAAAAACTTTTGCGACTACGCGACTGTACGAGGAGGGTGGGGTACTATTACAGTATTTACGGTATCTATTTTTATAAATGCTAGCAACCAAGTAGCTCTCCTCAAGCCCACCTTTTAGAAAATGTCAAGAGTAGGCCAGCTTTTAGAAAAGACCTAAGTAGGAGAGTGAATATTTAGTTGTAAATAATGTTTTCATTCGTTGAATAACTTAAAGAATTTCAGAAAGAGCACCCTCACTGCTGGAATCACGCTCTCGGTGGCTCCAATGGCGTAAATGGGCACGTTTTCACCCGAAAAATCAATCAGATCAGAATCAGATTATTGCTTTTCATTGTCCGATCTCTCTCCTCACTCATCTCATCGCATATATCGCCTGCCAGATTCGTGTTTCTTTTTTTCTTCGTTGTTTTATTCTGATTCGCGTTTTTGTTTTGCCAATACAGTCTAGGCGAATAAAGACGATTGCTCAAGAATTATTCTTGTCTGGCCAATAAAGACTTGCTGAAGGCATTGCTCAAGAATTATTCTTGTTTCTAAAAATTATTTAGACAATATAAAACAATATAGACACAGGAAAACAGAATGGAATTCCGAAATCTCTCTATTTCTCTATAAATTTTAGAAAAAACACCGTATTATTAGTTTTAATTCTAATTGTAAGCTATTCTTTGGCCAAGTCGTCTTTAAGTCTAATTGTAAGCGTTGAGTTGAACGTCTAATTTCACAAAAGCTTACTGTTAGTTGGTGGGATTGTCTGAAAATGTGAAAAACTGATATTTAGCTAATAAATTTCAATATTTAGCTCAATTTTTAGCCAAAGCCCGACTCCAGGCTCTCCTTCAATGGTTGAATGTCTCAACAACCGCCTACTATTGGTGAATGGCGATTATTCAATCTTTTAAAGGAAGAGTGGTGAGAATTTAGCCTCTATGCTATCGATAATATATGCAAATTTCAAAGTAACTGTAAATTCCCTAGGTTGGCCTTACAGTAAGCTGAAATGAAAAGCATACTGCTTAATTCTTCACTGAAAAGTTAGGTATTAAGTTTTTATGACTGAACCAGTTGCTGCTTTGCTCAAATTTGCATTAACCTTTAAAATTAACTGAGAAATTTGCATACTAAAACTGTTCTTTCTTTCATTTAAACTCTATTCAGTTCATTTATTTTCAAAAAATTTGCATATTTATCAAATGATGTCAAAAATGTAAGAATTTTAAAAAAAGCCACACAAACTGAAAGAAAATTTTTCAATATTATATTCAATATTCAATATTCAATTAAATTTCAATCATATGACTGCATTTTAAACAAAACGACTACTTTAATATTCGGAAATAGAAGCTGCAACTCATGTTGTCTTTGCTTTTCATTTTATTAAGACAATGTTGAAGTTAAAATTGCCAAGTTTCAGTTTTGAATTCGTATATGACGTAAAGCTCTGAATGACTCACTAAAAGACAACTTTATTCCTACCAAAAAGCCAATCCGATCTCAATCTAATCCAATCTAAGATTCAACTCATTTCCATGAACCATTTGCATTTAAAGCTAGGCTTAGGCTTAGGCCTAGGCCTAGGCTTAGGCTTGGACTTAGTGCGAAGGCTAGCGGCTAGCGCCTAGCACTAAGTCTATTTGGGTTTGGGCTGAACCCCTATTTTTTGGATCTCAGCCGGTTTAGGCTTAGGCTTAGGCTTAGGCTTAGGCTTAGGCTTAGGCTTAGGCTTAGGCTTAGGCTTAGGCTTAGGCTTAGGCTTAGGCTTAGGCTTAGGCCTAGTCTTAGGCTTAGGCTTAGGCCTAGGCTTGGGCTTAGGAGTAGGCTTAGGCTTAGGCATGGCTTAATGCAACCTTTCACGCTTGATAATGTGATTTTTTGATGAACTTGAAAGAGCAATTTGTACCCAAAAATCTCAACAACTAGTTGACAAATTCATTTATTGAAATTGCCTTGCCAATGATCGTCTATTGGACTTATCAGTACGATAAAGCTCTGAATGACTCATTAAAAGGCAACTTTATTCCGACAAAAAGCCCATCTTCTTCTTTTTTTTCTTTAACAAATCGGTGCCTCATTGTGTGATCGAGCTGTTCTCATCCCGCAAACAAATCCTTCTCGACATCCTTTTTCATTGGGACAATTGTCTGATTGGTTCCCGTTTCGTGTATAGAAACTGCAAATTGCAAATGGAAAAGGAAAAGGCGAATGAAATTTGTTCGGTGTTCCGTTTTGAGCTTTATTTCAAACTGCTGGACGTGGAAATAGAGAAAAATTCCTTTGTAAACGCTATTAAGTTTTATTTTTGAGTTTTAGCTTTTTAGTTTTTTGATCAAAGTTGAGAATTCGAAAAGAAATCGTTTCAATCTTCCCGTAATTCAATAAAGTCATTCGACTTTTACAAGGCCAAAATAAGAAAATGAGAGAACTTCTTTTGAGTCATTAATTGCTTACTTGTAGAATTTCCTGAAAAGATCGGGATCGTTCTCGAATCGGACGGTTAACTCGTGCCAACTGGCTGGGGAAAGGTCTTTCATGCTGTAAGATTCCTGAAAGCAGAAGGTTTAAGTTGGTTAGTATTGGTAAAGGGTGAGGAACCACAAATTCGCAATCGAATTGAAAAGAAACTGTAATCTTTCTTTTTGATTTATCCAGAAACCAGCCCGAAAAGCGATTAACAGCGGGCTATATGATGCTACTATGACGCTACTATGACGCTATATGACGCTAATCCAAACCAAAACCATATGATTTACCCAAGTTCGACACGGGCAACACGATGGCGTTTTTAGTTTTTGCCTAAACGCTTTAGATTTTTATAAAAGCGCAGTTGAAATTTGACCCCCTAAAGCGATTTGATTTGACGATTTGACCCCCTAAAGCGTTGACTCTCCCTTCTCTGCCGAGCGACTGAAACAAACAACCGACTTAACAGCGGGTTTTTCTGGCCACAGTCTTTTGTCGCCGTGGCGCAGTCAAGAGCACGCTTGTCTACACGATCCGGTTTGACCACACAATCCGGTTTGGCCACACGATCCGGTTTGGCCACACGATCCGGTTTGGCCACACGATCCGGTTTGGCCACACGATCCGGTTTGACCCCCGTAGTGCCACTCAATCTCGATTTTTTTAAATTTTTAATTTTAAATGGCACAACTACAATAGACTCTAAAGTTTTCTAAAGAAGTTTTAGCTTTATTGATCAAAATACGGCCAAGAAAATGCCTGTACAGACAGACAGACAGACAGACACTGCTCTTTTATATAGAAGGTTACAGTGGTTTTTCAGATTAACCACACCTTTGAAGACGCTTTATCCACTCAACTGGGTGGTTTGTTTAAGCCAAAAATCTAACTACAGAATACAAAAAGATTTAGAAAATAGGACCAAGAGAAGTCTCAAAGTGTCAAACTCCTGAACTTGGCCTGAATTAGAACTGAAACTGAGCCGAACTTGAATTGATCATGAGATGTAAGACTGTGTGATTAAATGCAAAATCCAACCCAATAGCTCTAGCTTTTTTGAAGCAAAGTTGGAGTAATTCTTAGGCACATCTATTCTCAGCTTTTTTTTTTGATTCTAGTCTAATTTCTCCCAAAAGTACCAAGCTTTAGACATTAACAAGACTGTATTGCAACAATTTACCGTAGTCTTGTACTCAAGTTTCCACAACGGCTCATGATTGTTGATGTTAGCCTCGGTGATATTCGCCGAATAGGTCTCCATTTCGAGTATCGTCTAAAAGTTGAATTCATCAAATAAATACTGGCACTTACAAAGCTGCTTCCTTGATAATCTCCATCGATTGTGTAAATTCGATAGGCTGGGTTGAGGTTGCTATTGGTGGTGAGTGAAGGAGTGATGAAATTGATCCCCGTTGGTCTCTTCTTTGCATCGGCACTCTCGTAGTAGATCTGGAAAAGTCATTGAATGGGTTCGAGTATAAAATGCGGCATATGTTAATGCATCCTTTTTGAGCTTTTTTTGAGCTTTCTAAGACCATTAAGCTAAGCTGAAAAACAAGAATTAATCACAACTTTTAAATTATCTGTAGATGCTCTTGATCTTGAAGCTCTAGTGGATCCTTGACGTTATCTGTGCTACCCATATATTTTATCGTGTTGCTTTTTATCGGCTCTTTTCGTGTTATGTGTATGAATTCATGTGTTTTAATCTTAAATCTAGCGCACTTTATCTTAGGTCATAAATAAAGTATCTATATATATATATATATATATATATATAAGATGATTTGGATGTAGATGTGTGACCAAAAAAACCGTTTAACGAAAGCATAAAGGTGGACGGATTTTTTAAAATATATTACCGTATTTACTCTAATAAAAGCCCCCTCTAATAAAAGCCCCCCTCTAATAAACGCCCCCCCCTCTAATAAACGCCCCCCCTCTAATAAACGCCCCCCCTCTAATAAACGCCCCCCTAGAGGGGTATCGAAAAAATAAACGCCCCGGGGCTTTTAATAGAGTAAATACGGTAGTTCAATTTCAAAGTTCCACGGTTAGTTCAAGGAGAGGTTCTTTCGTTTTGGAAATTCCAGTCACCCTCAATAAGTTTGTGTACAACTCTTTTCCAATAAGAACTGCCAGAATTTGGAATCGACTCCCCAGAGTTTTGAGAGAACCCAATAATCTCGAAACCTTTAAATTATCTGTAGATGATCTTGATCTTGAAGCTCTAGTGGATCCTTGACGTTATCTGTGCTACCCATATCTTACATAGATTTTATCGTGTTGCTTTTTATCGGCCCTTTTTGTGTTATGTGTATGCATTCATGTGTTTTAATCTTAAATCTAGCGCACTTTATCTCAGGTCATGAATAAAGTATCTATATAAAAGCCACGTAATTTTACATAGAATAGAAGAACCGTAACATTTTTTAATGACTTTGACAACCCTAGCCGTCCAAAAAATGCTATTCGATGCTGAAAAACAGTTAAATTCGAGTTTGGAGTCTCTAAAGCCAACTAAAACCACGAAACTTTTAAAAGACCACGGAACTTTTAAAAGACCACGGAACCTTTAAAAGACCACAAATCTTTTAAAAGACCACGGAACTTTTAAAAGACCCCAGAACTTTCAAAAGACCACGGAACTTTCAAAAGACCACGATTCAGGGAAAGAGCCTTAATTCAATATCCAAGCGCGCAGAAACCGACGTGCTGGTGTCGAGAAATGAGCGTTTGTTTGAGAGTAAACTTAGACTACGCGACGCTCCTGTCAGAATATTTACGGTATATACATGTACTTTTTTTTTACTTTTCCGCATCCTTTGTAAACTTTCACAGAAACAGATCAAAAATAGCTTAAAGTAGGACCAAAATTACGATTATAGTTGAAAGATGACACTTTTTAGAAAACACTCCAACATCGCATTCGAATTTTGTCTAATTCAAGACAAAAAAGTTGCAAAACTTGAGGTACAAACTTTTTTCAAATTTTGAAACAAAAATCCTACTAGTTAGCTATGCGATAAACTTTTCTATGCTTGTAATTAGCTATGCGATAAATTGTTCTATGCTTGTAATTAGTTATGCGATAAATTTTTCTTTTATGCTTCAAATTGAATTCGAAATTGCGAAAATTTTCATTATCTCGCAGAGAAGTTTGAAATTGATTTCAAGGAAAGCTTTTGAAAAACAAAATAGCTTCAATTTTGAGTCATTCAATCGGAGAAAACTTTGGTCGTTTTTGCAAACAAAGCGAACTTGTTAATGGATTGGTAATGAAGGAAACTTTATCGGAATTGCTTTTTTAATTATCTTGTTATTGAAAAATATAAGTTCACAAGGTTTTTTGAGATTGAATGATGAAAAACAAACCTGGAAATGATCTAGATGAGTGTGGCCATAAAATTGAGCGACAATCGTGCTCTCAAATCTGAAAAAAAGGTATTACTAGTTTCTAAAACGAGTCAAATTTTGAAAAATAAAGTAATCTTTAGAACTTTAGATACTCAGTCTACTTTTTATATCTTTGGTTTACTTGATAAGCCTCATAGAATAAGGCAAAATATAAAATAAAATAAAAACTGAGGAGGGAATTTCAATTGGGTATGATGGTCATGAGCCATAGATCATTCGACGCAGAATTCAACGCTGATTTCGAATCTGCTTTCCGTTTGTACTGTGGAGCACTCTGTCAAAAGTTAAAAGTCAAAAGCGCTCAAAGTTTTGTATGGGATTTCAAAAACCATACCCCGAGTTTACCCCGAGTTTATAAGCAGATTTCCCAGTGGCCACAAGAGGCAGTGGTGGCCGAGTGGCAGTGGGTTAGGATACAAGGCAAATCCTCCCTGGTTCGAGTCCACTGATGTGCTTCTTTCTCTACCTTTTTTGGCTTTGCAAATTTAATTGTTCTCCGTTTCAAATACAAGTTTATTTTAAACTAAAAATGTTCACTTTTAACTATTAACACCAAACAGATATCATTAAAATTAAAATCCAATTTTGAGAGTAAATTACAATAGCTTTTGAAAGCTAACACAAGCTAACAGCTTTTTCAAAGCTTTTAGAAAGCGCACTGAATACTCTATTTGATTTTAAGATAGAATACTAACTATAAGAATTATTTCAAGTTTATCGTATTATTAGAATATTTAAAGCCACACCTGTTGACAATATCGTAGAAATTGTATGACCATCCCTTCAAGCAATCATTTACTCCCGAGGGGATATGAGCGAAGAGGTGAACCTGGAAAGTTAATAAATTCAATAAATTCAATGATCAAAGTAACTCAAGTAATTAAATAAAGCATAAAATTCAGTACAAATATTCAGTTATAAAATCAATTTGAATTTGCTTTTGAGAGAAAATACAGGGTGCGTTCAGAGTGAGTAAGTAATTACCCATACTCACTCTGGAGGGTGTAGCTCAGTGAAAAGATAACCGATTCCGACACAAATTTTACAGGTAAATTTTGAGTGGGTCTCCTGTGACGATGCCCATTATCTAACCGCTAGGAGCTCAGAAATTTTTTAAATAAGCTCTCAAAGTTGAGAGTCGCCCTTACTTTGGCGCGACCTAGTTTCGGGGTTTTTGAAAAACGAGCTGCTTGCTGAGAAGAGCTAACTTTTTGTTAGTTTTCAATGAATAATGTTCAGAATCGGTTAGCTTTTGACTTAGCTACACCCTCCAGAGTGAGTATGAGTAATTATGGGGCATCATGTAGAGATTCGGGTCTTCAAAAACGGACTCACTTTATCCCCTTTCTGTTCGGAATCGATCAATTGCTCAATCAACCATTCGAGTGTTTGATCGGGATCGACTTGATTAATGTAAATATAGCTAAATTTTGAAAGTAAATCGATATTCTTAAATTTTAAATGAAAAGAGATATCATTATTTCTTACAAATTATGATTTGAGCAGTAGATCGAGTTGATCGAGATGAGCTTAAGGGACGGCTTGATGTATTGAGCCCACGAGCCACGACTGAAATTCGCTTATAAGGGAAAAAATCAGGTTATTATGTGCTTTAGCTAAAGAATTGTGCTTAAAGCTAAAGGAAACTCACTATTGGACATCATTTTGTTGGACGGCTCCAAGTTCTGGACTCCAGTCTTTCACCAATTCCGTGTAGAGCCATTGTGGACCCCGGGTGTCGTACTCGTCCATTCCATGAGGGGCAAATCTGCGAAAAAAAAGCATATTCATTTGTGAATTGTAGACTTTATGCTGTAAAAAAGTTTTTGTTGCTTATTTTTCCGAGTGTCAACGACTCACGAATCACTCGGCACTCCCTCGTGATTTCCAATTGATTGATAGATTGGCGTGTTTGGGAAAAATTCCCGAATAACGTTGGTAATGTTCTCAATGCTGGCGCTTGTTGATTCCTAATGAAGTTAATAATCAATTCCATTTTTCGTGTTACCCTTGTGTAATCCCCGATATTGTGCGCTTCCAAGTCACCGGTGATCATGATGTAGTCGAGCTGAAACTTTGGAAACTACTGTGAAACGCAAACGCATCCCATCTGGTAAACTCTAGAGTAGATAAGTAATAAAGTAAATGGTAAAAAACATGGAATTACGGCGGAATTGAACCCTCTACCTTCTGCTTACCTGCTTCTACTTCTGCTTACCCTTTACCTTCTGCTTACTTCTACTTCTGCTTACTTCTACTTCTGCTTCTTCTGCTTCTTCTACTTCTGCTTCTTCTACTTCTGCTTCTTCTACTTCTGCTTCTTCTACTTCTGCTTCTTCTACTTCTGCTTCTTCTGCTTCTGCTTCTGCTTACTTACACTGAGCTGTCAGCACTTTCTTTGCCCAAGAAGAAATAGGAAAGACAAAGAAGAAAGAGAAAAAGTCGTTATTATTGCACCAGAAAAGGTGCGTTTAGATTTTTGAGTATATCGTCGAAGCTATAACTAAGTAGAATCACTATAACTAAAACGAGAATCCAGTTAGTAAAGCTAAAAGCTTGTACTTTTATTTTACAACTGTTATATTTTAAATGATCATCCCAGCCAAGATTTTACAATTCTTAAAAATTCAAACCTTCTCATTTTGCGATATATGTTTCATGGCACTAATGAATGTCTGATATGGGAGATCGCATTGGGCCAATGTGCCCCATTTTCCGGCTGGCATTTTGATTGAGTCTGGAAATTACTGGACTTTAAAATTCCTTATTTAAAATCAATACCTTTTACTTTATTCCCAAAAAACTCGGGCGGATAATTGCGACAACACATGACAAACATTCGAAAGATTCCAACATCATCCTGAGAAGTTATTACCATAAATACTGGCCTACTTATACTCCTCTTGACGTTTTCTAAAAGGTGGGCTTGAGGAGAGGTACTTGGCTGCTAGCATTTAAAGAAATAGATACCGTAAATACTGTAATAGTACCTCACCCCCCGCGTACAGTCGCGTAGTCGCAAAAGTTTTTTAGTATTTCATTTTTTTCAAAGCGCCCATACTTTCAAAAATGCGTCTTTGGTATCAAAAAATAGCCCTGAATTTCAGCTATTTTTTGATACCTTACCGCGCATTGTAGCATAAAACTGTGTCGAGAAAAACGCGTCCAAAGCTAGACGACGCAACACTCCGCACCGCTCGACATTATCGCGCGAGAGAAGCCTTTTAAGCGAGATATCGCAAACTTCTATGCCAGATATCGGGCAGGCGTATGGGCAGCTGATTTTTTGATCAGCCTAGTCAATTCTACAACTTCTATTTTGGCATTGAGCAATCAGCGCATTGTAGCATAAACCAGTGTCGAGAAAAACTCGTTCAAAGCTACACTACGCAACACTCCGCAACGTCATTATGGGGGTGGGGTACTATTACAGTATTTACGATAGTTATTTCATGATTCTAATCAAACAGCTCGCTAAAGACAAATATCCAAGAAAACTGTTCAGAATTAAGAAATCAAAAACGAAACTAGCACATTTGCTCGTTTTAGTTCTGATTCTATCAACCGTAAATACTGTAATAGTACCCCACCCCCATAATGACGTTGCGGAGTGTTGCGTAGTCTAGCTTTGAACGAGTGTTTCTCGACGCTGGTTTATGCTAGAATGAGCGCTTAGATATCAAAAAATAGCTGAAATTCCGGGCTATTTTTTGATACCAAAGACGCTTTTTTGAAAGTACAGGCGCTTTGAAAAAAATGAAATACTAAAAAACTTTTACAGTATTTACGGTAGGTTGCGGAAAAAGTTCTGACTTAGCTGCGAAAAATTCAATTTTTATGTATTTTTTGCGCTTAGATTGTTGTACCCATCTTGATTTTTGTATTCCAAATGTGTTTGCAAAAAAGAGCTTCGAGTTTTGATCCGCTATTGCTGGAAATGGAAACATTTGAAGAAGTTGTAGAAGCTTGTCAAGAGTTCTTTGATTCGAAACCGAAAAAGTGGTACATCGAGTGATGCAAAAGCTTGTAGATCGATGTCAGAAAGTCGTAGATAATCATGGACTATACTTTGAGGAATAATTCTTGTTATTTTTGTTATTAAAGTGCGCATAAAAATTGAATTTTTCGCAGCTACTTTTTCCTTAACCTAGTAATTGATGAAACTTTTTATTTCTCATAGTCAAGTACCTCAATCTCATTGTCACACAAAGCTTCTGCACCCTCAACGTATTGGCGATCAATGTGAATATCGGAAAGATGAAGGACACGCATCGTTGGATTGCCTTTCTGGAAATGAATGGTAGACTTGACCTTATGCTTGTCAAAACCAAGTTCAATGCTTGTCAAAACTAATTTGCTCTGTGTTACGAATTGCTAATGTGCTTTCCCTTGAATTCACTAGAAATAGCTAGACCTGTGCGCTGCCTAAATGAATAATAAAACCAAGTTTAGTCAATACAATACAATTTTTTTTTAAATTTCGTCCAAAGACGCATTTCATACACCCCAATCCAATAATATTATCTAACTACAAGCCTGAGTATTCAACTAACGAAATTGTGAAGCACATAGCAGAAAATCGAAGAATTTGGATGGGAAGTCCTGCCTCGCCATATTTTCCTGATATGGCTACAAGTGATTATCATCTATTTGGTTCGATGCAGCACTTTCTGAAGGAGAAGCAGTTCAAGAATGATGATGAAATCCGTAACTGGGTGCTAAACTATTTTGAGTCCCAGGAGTCCCAGTTCTTCGAATATGGCATTCGGTCTCTTCGCGTTCGACGGAGGAAAGTCATCGATGCTTGTTTTGAATATTTCGATGAATAAAGATTTCTCGCTTTGATGTTATGTTTTTTTGAATTTGCCGTCAAATCCGCAGTTTCTTTTGCACCACCCTAATACAAGCCTGAGTATTCAACTAACGAAATGGTGAACCACATAGAAAGACAAGCAATAGCAGCAAAACTAATTCGCTCTGTATTACGAATTACTAGTATGCTTTCCCTTGAATTCACTAGGCGTAGCTGTGCGCTGCTTAGATGAATAAAAAACCAAGTTTATTCAATACAGATGGGGTAAAGCGTGTGAAAATGTTTTAACGAAGCTCAAGGGAACAATGTGTTTACTCAAAGACAAAAAGAAATCACTTTGTGGAAGTATCTCGAACAAAAGAACCCAACTTTCACAAGAAAACTGAGAGAAAATTTTTGCAAATGGGGAATGAGGCATCCTTTTATACGCGTGCGAGTCCGACATTGTTTAAGTTACGGTATTTCTGGTGTCTTATTGAACTGCGGCAGTTTTTTGGTGACTCATCGTCACAATGCTTTGCTAAGCTATCAGTTTGGGATTGGGGATTGATAGCCCAAGGTTCGTTACCGGATTGGCTAGTCTAGGTGAATCTTTGGGATTTTCAATTTTAACAAATTTTCACTGCTTTTAAAACTCGACTTTTTAGAAAAGAGGATCTATCATTGTCAATGTGCCTGTGGTACTTGCTGTGGTACTAGCTGTGTTAGTTGCTGTGGTACTTGCTGTGGTACTTGCTGTGGTACTTGCTGTGGTACTTGCTGTGGTACTAGCTGTGTTAGTTGCTGTGGTACTTGCTGTGGTACTAGCTGTGTTAGTTGCTGTGGTACTTGCTGTGGTACTAGCTGTGTTAGTTGCTGTGGTACTTGCTGTGGTACTTGCTGTGGTACTTGCTGTGGTACTTGCTCTGGTACTTGCTGTGGTACTTGCTGTGGTACTTGCTGTGGTACTTGCTGTGGTACTCACCGGTACTTGTGGCCAAGGTTTCACTGCGGGTTTTCCATCAGGAATCTTCAAAGGCCACAAAACATCAAAAACATTTGTCGAATTGCCGCAATCCTAAATTTAGTAAAAAATTTTTTTTACCAAATTGTGCTTTGGTGCTTTGGTGAAATTAGTGTGAAAAAAACACGACTCTTATATTTTCTATGAACATTTTTAAGAAAGTGACAAAGTTTTTAGTTAGTAAGTTTTCATTATATTTCATCAAATTTCCTTACTGCCACAAAAGCTCCACACAACTCATTCGGTGTCACCACAATCTTGTCCAACATGAAAATGACCTCTGGCTGAAGTTTTGATTCTTTTTTTTTGATGAATTTTCTTCAAACCAATAGACTTGGGACGAGAGTATCACAAACATGCGTGTTTTCGGCTTTCAGAATTTTGCACAAGTTTCTGAAATCTACTATAGAATCAAAGAGTAATGTCTGCCCGTTTGTCCGTCTGTTAGCGCGAATTCTCGGCCCTCGATTTACATGATTTTTAGTTTATTAGGCTTAGAATTCTATGTAGTTGTGCGTCCCAGATTTCGTTTTTTAAAAAGCAAAAGTCACGCCACAGCCGGGAGCCGAACCTGGGCTGTGTGGGTTGTAGAAAAGAGTTGGAGTACAAAGTACAGCTCGTAAATTAGTTCAAGTCGAATACCGTATTCTCTCTAATAGTAGTGCACCCTGAACGTTGCCTAAATTGCTCGAAATCTCGAATTAGAACCTATCGATGTGGGGTCGGAAAATGTAGCTGACGATGAGATCTAGTGGGGGATTTGAGTGTTGAGCTTCTGCAAAAGCTTCGAAACCGTAAAATAGTGATAAACGCGGCTCGGCGCAGTGCAGTGGTAGGGAAAATGCGGTATCTTTTCTTTCCCCTACCTGATATTCAACGGGAGTCTCCGTGTAGTTAAATGTCGCTCCACCCAATAAAGAGTAGAGAACCAACTTACTATTTAGATGAGCTAAGCTAACGGTCCATGTTTCATTGCCGTATTTTCCCTAATAGTAGTGCACCCTGAGCGTTGCCTAAATTACTCGAAATCTCGAGAACCGCTTATCAGAACCTATCGATGTGGGGTCGGAAAATGTAGCTGACGATGAGATCTTGTGGGGGATTAGAGGGTTGAGCTTCTGCAAAAGCTTGGAAACCGTAAAATAGTCATCAACTCGGCTCGCTGGGGCGCACTACTACTATACGGTATTTTACAGTAAAAACTCATGCTAAATTGATAAGTTTTCGCTCTATTAAATGTAATTCTAACAGATTTTGACTAACACTCCAAAATTGATCAACTCCTCATCGGTCGAATTCTCCTTGAGAAGCATTTGGAATCCGTCGACGATCAGCGTGCAAACGGCGCATTTCCCCGACGCGTCCACCGGTTTCTTTGACTGAAAAGTTGTAAAATTATTTATATAATGAATATTTTCTTTTATCATAACAAAATCTTTACCACAGCATGAACAAGTTTTTGAAAGATATCCTCATCTTTTCTTGAAAGCACTCCAGCTAGCGAAAGGGTTAAAAATGAGAAGAAGATGAGCCAAAATCGGGACATTTTTATTTAAATGTTAGCAATTTTTTGGAGAATTTTTCCAGGAATGTTTGCGATTTTTTTTTTATTTCTTTGTTTCCTCGTTTTCTCGGATAAGATAACAATCAATTGATCGTAAAATGAGGTAAGCAAAGGCGGTGTTTGCTGTTTTTTCGGAAAGCAAAGACTTTAGAAATCGTAAATTCAACAAACTATTCTTTAAAATAAAAGTTAAATATAGAAAAAGAAGATGATGAAAAGAAGTAGCCAAAGTTACAGTAAGTTTTGTTTAGAGGTAACATTTTGAAAGACGAAATCCATTGTTATGCGTCATGAAATTTCAGGTTTGATTCGAACTATAAGTCTAGTCTCGTAATTTGGAATAAGAGAAGAAAGGAAACAACGAGTGTATGCTTTTTGTTTAGAGGTAACTTTTTGAGAGACGAAATGTCCCGATTTTGGCTCATCTTCTTCTCATTTTTAACCCTTTCACTAGCTGGAGTGCTTTCAAGAAAAGATGAGGATATCTTTCATTGTTATGCGTGATGGAAGTTCAGATTTGATTTCAATAAAATTTCTACTTTAAAAAAAGCTCTATTTAAGTTTAAATCTAAGTTTATATCATAAAATTTAGTTATTTTTTTTTGGCTTTTCGCGTAAATTTATCTCCTAACAGCAAATCAAAAATTCTTTCTCCAAAGTTCAGATTTCAAAGGCGCTCTCCGGAAAAATGAATTATTGAAAACCCCAAAAATTTGTTCCATTTTCAGAAAATTTTGAATAAAATTAAATATTTGAATAAAAATAAAGAGGAAAACCCTTATTTAAGCTTTATTTTGATAATTTATCTAACTCGATTTATCTAACTTGGGCTAAAAGGCCAAAACTACACAACTTAACGCTTTTCCGCAGTTTTTGCCTTTTAGCCCAAATTTGACGTGTCAGCGAGGTCTGATTTGTCGAAATTCGGAATCTACGCATACGACTCCCTTATATGGGAAAATTTTCGAAATATTTTCGAAGCTCTACGACCTTTCCTAAGGCCTTTTCCAGCAAAAAAAAGGTGCGCAAATGTCGAGGTGCGCAAAAAAAGGTCGCGTTTGTTCCACCCCCAAAATTTGTTCCATTTTCAGAAAAGTTTGAATAAAATTAAATATTTGAATAAAAATAAAGAGGAAAAACCTTATTTGAACTTTATTTTGTTCATTTTTCGTTTAACTTTTCATTTTTTTGGGAAAATAGCTCTTTTGACATTTGAATCGTCTCTTTCACTCGGGTTTTCATTCTTAAAACTTTTAGAATTTAATTTAATTTATAATTTGTAGTTTAACTTTTATAATTGAATTTAATTTATAATTTGTAATTTAACTTTTATAATTTAAACGTTTTTAACTAGATTGAAAAACAACTGAAAAGTTAATGATAAATCTCGAAAATTCAGCTGTTCTTTTGAGTGGGGAAGTTGTGGGAAAAGTGAAATGATCCTTTTTTGTGACATTTGAGCCCTCTCTTTTACTTTGGCTACTAAACTCGTCAAAAATCCCCACAAATCACCACTAAAATTGATTTTTGGTGGTGATTTATGGTCAAAATACTCAAAATACTTAAAGCTAAGAAATTGCTTTAATTGCTTTGAATTGCTTTTAGTCTTCTACTTTGCTGAAAGTTATTTCTATTTTTAGAAATGATTTGGTTACTTTTGTTTAAATGAGAGTTTTTGACTTTTATTAAATTGGCAACTTGAAAGTTGGTACACTTATTGATTGGACTTTTTAGAAATAACTACTGCATCAATTAATTTACAGTTTTTACCAATAAAAAGGCCCATTTATTCTCTGACACCGGCTTTTGACAGATTTAGAAAAGCTTCGATTTTGTGGGTTTCTAGGGGGCAAGAAGTTGAGCCTTTTTAGCCCAAATATGATGAACACTCGATTAAGCGATTTGTGCACTTTCTTTCACGTAAACCTATTTTAGTGTCAATAAAAAGAGAGAGAGAGAGAGCATAACAAGTTAGATAAATAACCAAATTTTCAGCTAGATCTAATCAATTGTTTTTTTTATAGTTCCATCTGAAGAATTTTCAGAAAAACTTGAATTTCTGCTCAAATTCCTTTCAAAAGTTACCCAAATTTGCTTAAGCATTTCTTAAATGAGATAATATATACCGTAAATACTGTAATAGTACCCCACCCCCTCGTACAGTCGCGTAGTCGCAAAAGTTTTTTTAGTATTTCATTTTTTTCAAAGCGCCCGTACTTTCAAAAAATGCGTCTTTGGTATCAAAAAATAGCCCTGAATTTCAGCTATTTTTTGATACCTAAGCGCGCATTGTAGCATAAACCAGTGTCGAGAAAAACTCGTTCAAAGCTAGACGACGCAACACTCCGCACCGCTCGACATTATCGCGCGAGAGAAGCCTTTTAAGCGAGATATCGCAAACTTCTATGCCAGATATCGGGCAGGCGTATGGGCAGCTGATTTTTGCACTATTTTGATTAGCCTAGTCAATTCTACTACTTCTATTTTGGCATTGAGCAATCAGCGCATTGTAGCATAAACCAGTGTCGAGAAAAACTCGTTCAAAGCTACACTACGCAACACTCCGCAACGTCATTATGGGGCTGGGGTACTATTACAGTATTTACGGTAACTTTTATTTAGAGAAGTCGAATTCAATTGAGTTATTAAATAAGTTTTATGGAGAATACGAAAAAGTGTACGAACTTTCACGTTGTCAATCTAGTTCTCTTCAATCAGCTAAATGTTTTATGGAATCTAAGCATCTAAGCCATCTAATCATTAAATATTTAGCCTATATTCAGCCTCAAAATCCCAAAAGATTTCCACCTTTTTATTGCCTTTTACCCATCTCTTTATTCAACTTTTCGAAGTAAATAAGATTCCCGGGGTTTTCCTTTTTGATTTTTTTCTTTTCTTTTCCTTTTTCAACTTAAAAAGAGTCGTTGTTGACGGAATTGGAGAAAAGGGAAAAATTGAGAGAAAAAAACATTTCCACACACATTTTCAGTTGATTTTCATCTGTTTACCACCTTGTTTCATATTTTATATTCAAATTCCGAAGAAATTCGGGTATTTTTTGAGATTTATACAATATTATACAATATGCAAAGTACAATTTTAGTGTTTTTGTTCAAATTTTAGTCATTGATAGCTTTGAGACTTGTAAAGTCTTAATTTGTGACTATTGGATAAGATTTTTTCTTTCCGTTTTTATCAATTCAATCAGTGAATTCGATTTTATGATTGATTTACGTTAAAGTTTGAAATTTTAAAGTACCCAGAATCCATTTGTTGCTCTGTTGTTGAGTTGAGCTCTGAAATTGCAACTTACAATTCAAAAGCTTTGAAAATCTTGTAATTTCAACAAATTTTTTTAGAGGAGTCATTTCAATGTTGTTGAACGTTTCTTTTTTTATTCTCTTCTCTTTTCTCTCTTTGATTTCTTTTTTTCTAAGCCAGGAAAAAAGAGGGAAACATTGATAGCTTTGAGACTTGTAAAAAATTAATTTGTAACTATTGGACAAGATTTTTTTCTTCCCTTTTTTATCAATTCAATCAGTGAATTCGATTTTATGATTGATTTACGTTAAAGTTTGAAGTTTTAAAGTACCCTGGATCCATTTTAGAGTTGATAAGCAAATCAGAGTTGAGCTCTGTTGCAACTTACAATTCAAAAGCTCTGAAAATCTTGTAATTTCAACAAATTTTTGAAAGAACTAATTCTTGTTCTTGTTTACAGTTCGAATCGCAATGATCTTTGACCATTATCAACTTTTCAAATTTTAATCTGTACATTTGGAGTCATTTCAATGTTGTTGAACGTTTTCTTTTTCGATTCTCTTCTCTTTTCTCTCTTTGATTTCCTTTTTTTGAGCCAGGAAAAAAGGAGGGAAATCTTTCTCGTAAACAAGCGGTTTTGTTGGGCTCAAAATAACAAAACAATTCCCCGTTTTCAGTTTATTTGAAATAAAATTGAATATTTTTATTATTTCATTGATTTTAACTTTTTATAAGCGATACAATGATAATATTTAAAAAATAAACAATTTCAAAACAAAACTTTCAGATCTCAACGACATTCCCGACATTTCCCTTCTTTCAGGAGGTGAATTTACTTTTTAAAAGATTTGAATACCGTATTTTTCTTAATAGTAGTGCACCCTGAGCCTCGCCTAAATTACTCGAAATCTCGAGAACCGCTTATCAGAACCTATCGATGTGTGGTCGGAAAATGTAGCTGACGACCAGATCTTGTGGGGGATTTGAGTGTTGAGCTTCTGCAAAAACTTGAAAACCGTAAAATAGTCACCAACTCGGCTAGACCGGGGGGAGGAGGAGAGGGCACTACCATTAGAGGAAATACAGAACACCCCATTTTCTCTAATAGTAGTGCACCCTAAGCTTCGCCCAAATTACTCGAAATCTCGAAAAGCGCTTATCAGAACCTATCGATGTGGGGTCGGAAAATGTAGCTGACGATGAGATCTTGTGGGGGATTTGAGTGTTGAGCTTCTGCAGAAGCTTCGTAACCGTAAAAATAGTCATCAACTCGGCTCGGCGCAGTGCAGTGGTAGGGAAAATGCGGTATCTTTTCTTTCCCCTACCTGATATTCAATGGGAGTCTCCGTGTAGTTAAACATCGCTCCACCCAATAAAGAGTAGAGAACCAACTTAGTATTTAGATGAGCTAATGGTCCATGTTTCATTGCCGTATTTTTCTTAATAGTAGTCCACCCTGAGCGTCGCCTAAATCGCTCGAAATCTCGAGAACCGCTAATCAGAACCTATCGATGTGGGGTCGGAAAATGTAGCTGACGATGAGATCTCGTGGGGGATTAGAGGGTTGAGCTTCTGCAAAAACTTAGAAACCGTAAAATAGTGATCAACTCGGCTCGCCGGGGTGCACTACTATTAGAGAAAATATGAAAAATTCTGAAGAACTGTTGATTCTCTCAAATTCTCTCACTTTACATACGATAAAAATTTGGATACAAACTCAT